GTGTTGGGTGCAAGAGCCTTCTTTTCATATTCTTTATTAGTTTGTTTTGCCGTGTATATATGGATTGGCGGCTTCGAGTTCCTCTTACTCGGGGCGCACTTGTTTTGGGGATCTGACTGAGTTTCCTCCCTTAAATGATTATATGGGGTGGGTCCATTTTTTTTCGTTTTGTTTCGTTTCGTTTCATTTGTTTGCATTTCATTTGGTTTTGGGTCTTATGAAACTGGATTTCTTCGGCTTTTTGTCGTGGTCCGCAGCTTTTCGAGCTCACACATGATCGAGCTTTTTCTAACTTCTTAATCGTAACAGGGATGGATCTATTCCTTTCTCACTTTGCTTTACATAGATGACACCTTGCTAAGTCGACTCTATTATGTCACGTTGTGTGACGTTGTGTCAATCTAATTTCGCAACTTTTTGACGGCACTACAAACCAGCCGTCCACTGTATCTTATCATGTCATTTAATCTACTCTGCAACTTTCTGACGGCATGACAAATCAGCGGCCGATCATGTCTGTACGTGCATGTTGAGCTCAGTGCCAGAGTTGAGCTCTTTGTAGGTAAGGTATGCCGGAGCTCACAGTGTCTATGTGCATGGTTACGTATGCTGTTGAAACACAGACCTGAGTTCAACTCCAGATGGAACTAGATGAATGAAATACGGTTCAAATATCTGAATTACTTGAGGCCGGTCAGCTCGGTGATGATACCCCAAGGCCGTCGCCCTTTTTTATCAAAGATGCTGCAACGGATAGCGCTTTGCTAGGGGATACCTCCACTGTCCTAGGGCCTGGTAAAAATAGTGGGCTATGGTTGTAGATTTGCTTACATCCGTGGCTCGCACGGTGTTGTAAATTTTAACACAGTGGAACGAGGTCCGAAATTTGCAGTACATGCAGCAAGACATTCGGTCTTGCTCCTCTGCACAGCACTCTACATGAATTTGGACGCTTTCTGGACCAAGTGCATCCAGATGAGTCAAGCATTTGGAGTGTATCGGGCCCAGAAAGTGTCCAAGACTCCAAATGCATGTGGAGTGTTGTGTAGTGGAGCAGAGGCCATAAGCTGATGGTCGTGGTGAGCAGGTTACTTGTTCTTTTTTTGTTTTCTTTTCTAGTTTTTTTGGTGAGCAGGTTAGTTCTTCTTACAATATTGGCGAATTCGGCAATAGTAAGGGCGAGGTCCACCAGCAAAGAGGATTGAATTTAATGCCTGAATCTGGACGTGTTCTTGCCAGGAGATGCAGAAAAGCAGAGCACTTGCAATATTCTGCACCTTTCCACGAGTGCGATATTCTGCACCTTTCCTCTGTGCCAGTTGGACCTCATCCTAAGTCATATTTCTGACCCTGTAAGGTTTTTTTTTTTCTTTTTTCTTTTTTCTTTTTTCTTTTTTCACAAAAAAGACTCCGAAGCTCTTGATGCTGCTCCTGCCTGCTTTTGTTTTTTTTTGACGATCTTCGAAACAAACTTGCACTGTAACTCGATCATGTGTTTCATTCTTCCGTAGGGGCCATGCTAACCTTCTCCGTGTGTCTTTCCAATTTTCACAGATGTCCCGGGGGGCACTCTGCTACTCCTGCTGCTCTTGCTACTGGTTCACATCCTGCTGTTGCTACTGCTACTGCTACTGCTACTGCTACTGCTGTGGACACTGCTTCTGCCACTGCTACAGATGCTGTCATCCTTACCCAAATAGAACGCCCATCAATTATTGCCGCATCTGGATTGAAAATGGCCCCAGATCCAGCTGCTACTGTGGCCGCTTCTGATGCTGCTGCGGACACAGTGACTCCTGGCCGCTTCTGATGCTGCTGCTGACGCAGTGACTCCTGCCTTTACTGCTACGAGCCTAGGACACGAAAATTGCTGCTCGCTGTCTCATATAAATTCTGACAGGTGCCACACAGTTTTGTCACCAGGCAAATCAATGTCAGCAATTGTACCTGGGTGATAGTGTGAACAAATGTCAAAATCAGTTCCTCGGTTAATGTGATTGTACTGTACTCGCCCAAATTTAGTTCACTTTACCGGTTAAAGATGGGTTCGTTATTATGAATTTACTGTAATAATTATATCTACATCTACAATACTATAGAAACTGCTAAACGTCATATCGAACGGCCCAATTAGCAGGCCGATCAGAACCGCGGCTGGCTCGGATCTCAGGCCGATCAGAAAGTTTTCTGATCGACCTGAGATCTGCGCCGTCCGCGGTTGTGATCGGCCTGCAAACTGGGCCGTTCGATACCAGTTGGTACCGGAAGCAGCCGAAGTTGCCCAGCCACCCGCTTTTTTGTTGGCGGTCCACCCCACCCCTGGAATCGCCCACCCACCCACTTTTTTGTTGGCGGCCCACCCACCCCTCGAATCGCCCGCCCGCCCGCTGTTTTGTTGGCGGCCCACCCC